AGTGTGAATCACACAAGCCAGAGAAATGAAGATATGATCCAATTTTCACACTGCATAAGTTCTCTTTCTATACACCCAGAGAGGGTATGCCTGTCATAGGACACCCTAAAAGGGAAAACAATCAGGGACTCATTACAGACAAACATTAGATAGGCAATGTGCTACTGCTACTAGCCCTATGCACTTGAACATGGAGTCAAATGAGTCATTTTGAGTACAGTAATAGAAAATGCTTAGATATGGAAGGACATCTTAAAAGTGGGTACTTTACGATGGGTTTCTCCTCATCCAGAGCAAAGAAGAATGAAGAAAACTAAAGATGCATGGAAACAATTAGTCCAAGCTACTGGTACACCATACGATCTGCAGCCTATATGACTGTAAGACCAGAAGAACTAGATGGTGCCTGGCTACCACTGTCAACCACTCAGAGGGGGATCTATGTAGGAGATCTTAGATAGAGAGGGAGAAAAATGTGAACAAAACTCATAATCATTTGAGGGGGGGGGATTAAAAAAAAGGGGATCAGGTTTGCTGGTCTGAAAGAGCCTGGTGGAACCACTGAGACTATGGCCCCTAGCTGCCCTTCAGGTCTGGAACTGAACACACACCTGTGGCTTGCAGCCAAGCAAGACAGGCATAGGAGTTGAACATTTACCTGAGGTAGATACGTTCCTTGGAGAGAACAATCATGGGAGAAAGAAGGACTGTTTATGCTCAGGGGGCAAGAGTGCACGGAGGGATGGACTATGGAGAGGAAGTGGTGGGGGGTGCTGTTGCATTGCAGTAAATTGTAGTCCATGTCAGGAGACAAAGTGTATGTGAACTGTTGTATGGAAAGTAAATTTGCTCTCGTAAACTTTCACCCAAATCACACTTAAAAAGGAAAAATGTGTGCACTTTATTGGACTTCATTAAAATTAAAAACCTTTGTGCTTCAAAGGATACCATCAAGAACATGAAGAAATAACCCTCAGTAGGAGGAGCTCTGGTAGCATAGTGCCTAAGGCACTTGACTGCTAACCAGAAGGCTGGCGGTTCAAACCCACCAGCCACTCCTCAGAAGGATGGTTTGGCAATCTACTTCCATAGTGATATTACCTCGGAAACCCAAGGAGGGGTCGCTATGAGTCGGGGCCGACTCTACGGCAAATAACAACAACAACAACAACATATCTGATAAGGGACTTATATCTACAATACATAAAGAACTCTGACAACTTAATAATAAAAAGACAACCCGATTAAAAATGGGCAAACAATCTGAATAGACATTTCTCTATTCAGACAAACGAATCTAAGCAGCCAATTAGCACAAGGAAAGATGCTCAACATCACAAGTCAAAACCACAATGAGTACTACTTCATCCCTCCATGGAAGCTTTAATCAAAGACAGACAAACAAAACAAACAACAAACTCACTGCCATCGAGTCGAATGGATTCTCGGCAACCTCTCCTTGAGTTACCAAGGCAGTATCTCTACCGAAGTAGACTGCCCAATCTTCCTTCTGAGGAGTGGCTTTGAACTGCCAGCCTTCTGGTTAGCAGTCAAATACCTTAGGCACTAGGCCACCAGAGTATCTTTAATCAAAGACAGATAACAGCAAATGTTGGGGAAGATGTGGAGAAATTCAAACCCCCATGCACTGCTGGTAGGAACATGAAATGGTACAGCTGCTTTGGAAAAGCAGTCTGGCCACAACAGCTTTCATATAACCCAACAATGGCCTTCCTGGATATACACTGAAGAGAAATAAAAACTTAAGTCCACAC